TGCTAGGGAATCCTGGGAATTGTAGTTTATTGTGGCATCAGAGCTCTGGCAGAGAACGCTAAATGTCTCATGAAACTACAGTTCCAGAATTCCATAGCATTGAGTCAGAGCAGTTAAAATGGTCTCAAACTGGATTATTTATGCAGTATGTTTTGGACTATAGTGCAGTTACGGAAGGATGAGCTACATGCTGTGTGAAATTGGAGGAGATTTCCTTGGTTTGTGGTGATTGATTTGTTTTTCAAACAGATACCCAGACTGGAACCCAGAAGATGCCTCTATCAGAAAGAGGTAAGTTTTCAGTTTCAGTATGATTACTTTCATAAATTAGAATTAATTTGTAGTCATCTTGATATTCCAACACAACCTGTAGAGCCACTTCTCATCTTTCCATGATGGGAAACAGCTGAATTGCCCAGCCCAATTCCAACTCCCCACCGGTGGCGCAGCAGTGAGCAAGGTTTCCATCTCCCCCTCCCAGGCTACAGCGCGACGGCAAAAGGGCTGTGGGCGTGTTTCTTGCCCAGCCCAATTCCAACTCGCCACTGGCGGCGCAGCAGTGAGCGAGGGTGGGCGCGGCTATAAAGCCAAGCCCAAGGCTTTCATCTCTCCCTACCAGGCTACAGAGGGGATGGTGAAAAGGCTGTGGGCGTGGTTTTTTGCCCAGCCCATTCCATCTTCTGAGAAACTTGGCGCAAGTGAAATATGCCGCCTAACCTACTTCACCTCCCCCCCCCCCAAAAAAAAATCAGTGCAGGGATTGAGAGTTGGAAGGCTCGGTTGAAGGCTCGTTTAGGGCCAAAAAGCCAACCCAACAAAATTTATGTGCCTGGAGAAGCGGTGACGAGAGAACTGGACACTCTGTGGGTTATAGATAAGCAATTAGAATGGAGAAGGCTGGGGGAGAGTCAAAAAGTGGAACTGTGGGAATGCCCATCGAGGTAGCACGGGGCAAAGGTAGATATGGCGATAACAGGATAGAACCATGTTATAAAAGAAGGTGGGATTGATGTTTAATAACGATCCCACTTTCAGTTCACCTGGTTGCCCAAAGTAAGTTGGGGAGCTTGCCAACCTTGCCACAGAACCTTGTCCTGCTCCTCTGCAATGTGAGGTCAGTGAAAAATAAGACCCGTATCATCCATGATCTTATGGATGAAAAAGCCGACCTGGCTCACTTTGCAGAAACCAGGCTAGGGGAAGATAGTGCCACTACATGCAACCAAGCTCTCCCAGCCAGGTACTCTGTACATGAGCAGGTAAGGGAAAGTGGAGGGGGGGGGGGAATGGCTCTGGTTCACAAGGACACCCTATCCTTGACCAGGATACCTATCCAGAAAACATCACTTCGAGAGTATGTACTTGAGCTAAAAACTAGGGATAGTATTGTTGGAAATTGATGTTGATGAAGTGTTGTAAACAGTCCTTTTAAAACCAAACACCAAAACCTGGAACTTCCAGTAAGCTTCTTTTATTGAAAAACAGTAAAAGCAAAAACTAATAATAATAATAATAATAATAGCATCTTCACTTTAGCCAAAATGGCTAAGCTGGAACAAAGCCTATGTGCTATATGATTCAAAACTGGTTTGTAGCATCAAGAGAATATTTTAATTAGTTCATTACAGCTCAAAGGTTAAAAAGCAAGTGAGTGGCTTTCTAATTCCCAGCTCTCAGCCCCCCAATTCTCCACCCTTTTGGGTGTAGCCTTGACAGGCTGATTGGTTGATAATACATGACGTGTGTTAGCCCAGCCTTTAATTACCATAATAAATCATGTGACTACATTTCCCATAACCATTCTCATGTTGACAAAATCCTCAATGTAAACAAACCTCTTTCTCATAGAACTGAAGCTTATTAACTGCTTGTTTGGGCCAAGAACACACCTGGGCTGATA